CCCCAGCCCCCGCATCCTGCCCCGTGTCCCCACCAGCTCCCGGCGCCTGGAGAGGGCCGGGAGGAGCCGGACTCGTGTGCGCTGCCCCCGGGGAGGCGGCTGCCCTGCCCCCAGCCTCCCTGCCCCTTGCCCTGAAGGTTCGCCCTCGCCCCCAGCGCTGCCTCCGGGCTCTGCGGTTCTCTCTCTGCTGCTGGGTCTGCCACGGAAGTCGCAGCTCCTCCCCCAGCTGCTTCTCCGCCGGCCCCGCAGCCCTCTCTCTCGCACCGAAGGGTGCAGCTCGCTGCGCGCCTGGAAGGGAGCCGGACCGAGCGCCGGCTCCGTCGCTGCCCATGGCCGTGTGGGGCTCATCCGCGCGCAGCCCGTAGAGGAGCCGGACCCCTGGCAGGAGGCTCTGTCCCGGCCATGCTGCCCTGGGCTGGCGCGCTGGGCCTCTTCCTGCTGCTCCTGCTGTGGGGTGCTTGGGCGCAGCTCTGGCAGGGGGCCGGTCCCCGCAGCTCTGGCCTGCAGCTGGTCTGCAAGCCCTCTGCGCTCGCCACCCACCTGGAGACCTGCTGCCAGAGCCTGAGAGGCTTCTGGGGAGCTCCCTGGGCATGGAGGGCCCTCCCTTCCCTGCAGAGCCTGGCCAGCCTGGCGGGGCCCGTGGACAGCCGGGTGCATTTCGTGCGGAACCACCTGCAGCTGCGAGATGAGGGCTTGGTGGCCCTGGACTGGGCGGTGGGACCAGGCCCCCAGCCAAGGAGACGGGTGTCCGGTGCCGGCGGCACCCCGGTCCTCCTGCTGGTCCCCAACTCCTTCGGGAAGATCACACGCAATGTCAGCAAGGTAAGAGCGCGGGGCAGACCAGCGCCCTGCGCCCTAGGCCCGCCGTGGCACCAGCTCGCGGGGGGACCAAAGGCTGGGTGCTCTCCCTTGCACCTGCACCATGGGGACAGGGACGCTGGCTTCTGGCTGCAGCCCGGGGGGCTGGTAGCACGGCCAGCGAGGGCCCCGGAGGGCTGGCCAGGCTCTTCTTCTGGCACCTTGTGGAGAGAGACGTGTCCGGCAGGGCTAGAGAAGGGGGAGGCAGATGAGCAGGCTGGTGGGGCTAGAGCACTCGCTGACGTGACAGCTGCCGGTGCTGCCTGCGGGGACACGGGTCTGAGCACCTTGGGAAACCAGCCCCAAGAAGTGTTTGGAGGGATCCCCAGGCTGGGGTGCCCAGCAGCGAGCCCGTGGTGGCTCAGGTAGGGGCTCCTGGGGCTGGGGTGGGCTCCCAAAGGCAAGGACCAGCCAAACCTGCCCGGCTCTCGGGTGGAGGTAGGTCTGCGCCCCGCGCCCTTTGAACACCCCCGGACCGATGGCAGGAGGCAGAGACCTGCCTGCAGGGGCAGGGCTGCGGCCTGGTGGGATCCCGAGGGCTTCTCCACTGTGGTTCTGCGGCCCTGCGGGACTCTACGTCCCAGCACTGCCCCGGGCTCTGTCGCTTCCAGCTCTGCCGCCTGGCACTGCTTCGAGGCTACCGCCCCGTCGTCTTCAACCGCCGCGGCCACAACGGCTGCCCGCTGAGCACCGCCAGGCTGCAGGCCTACGGGGATGCCGCTGACCTCCAGGAAGCCATCCAGTACATCCGCTACCGGTGCCCCGGGGCCCAACTCTTTGCGGTGGGGGAGAGCACGGGCGCGGGGCTCCTGTTCTCCTACCTGGGGGAGTGCGGTTCTTCCAGCAGCGTGACGGCAGCTGCCTGCATCTCCCCCATCCTCAGCCCTCGGGAATGGATGGAGGCCGGGTGTCCCTGGCTCTGGCAGCAACTCCTGCTCTGCTACCAGAAGGTTTGGCTCAGCCGGTGAGTGCCTGCAGCTCGCGGTGCGCGGGGTGGGCAGGAGCAGCCCAGGCTCCGCGGGTAGGGGCTCCTTCCTTGGCCTGGGCACCCGTGCGTCCGGCTCCATGACGCGATGGCAGAGCTGACAGCCCCGTCTGTCCCCGCCAGGTTTGCCACGGTGCTGGCGGAGGCCGTGCGGCCGGGGAGCGTCTCCGGGAGCCGCGGGAGCTGGAGGAGGCCGTGTTCTGCCAGGCCCAGTCCTGGGACTCGTACTGGGAGAGGAACGACCCCCTGCGGGACGTGGACGAGGTGGCCACCCCGGTGCTGTGCATCTGCAGCCGGGACGACCCGGTGTGCGGGGGCGCGCCGCCCCGGGAGCTGTTCGAGACCAACCCCTACCTCTTCCTCGCGCTGGCCCCGGGCGGAGGCCACTGCGGCTTCTTCCGGGACGGGCTGTGCAGCTCCTTCTGGAGCCACGAGCTGCTGCTGGACTTCTTCCAGGCCACGGTGGACTTCCTCCGAGCGGAGAAGCCGAGCGGCCAGGCCAGGCGGAGAGGGGCGCCACCCGCCCCCGCCCCCGACGCCCGCGG